ACCCCATACCTACGTAATTTTGTGGGCAAACGTCAACAATTGACGTATTTTATAAAAGTAGGTAATTACTTATATTAAAATCTAGCCGCTGTTGCACCAAGTCTAGACGATGTTTCATTTGTCAACAACGCCGTTTATCACAGTCACGTTTGCATCTTTTATTTAACATACTAGGTATGTTACAGTCATTCTTTTGCGATTTTTCGTCGTAAAACACATAGCACAAAAATCGTGAAGGCATTAAAAGCGTTTTGTAATAGTTTATTTTACTTCTGGTCAGTTTTATTTAAATTAAATATCAATACTATTTATTTAATTATAATTAGGTATCATGGGAAGGCTGTGTCCATCTGTGAATCGATTGCGGGCTTTGAGAATGAAAGGATAGTTCATTCTCAAATTATCGTGATCTTTGCTATAGTTATGGAACCATGTTCAAATAGCAACCGACTTGTATTTTTATACGTTAACATTTTTTATAGAATAAGGGTGACAAGCGAGCACACAGTCCACCTGATGGTAAGTGGTTGCTGTGGCCCATAGACATCTACATCTATTCTCGTTTGCGAATAAAATGCAAATGCGTCATCACCCGTGAGGACTAAGATGGAATGCCTCTTTTCCAGTAAAATGGGTCTCCGGTTCTCTACACTCACCATACGAAACACAGCAGCGTTAAGCTGCCATTTTACGTTGGCATTCTGTGAGAACGTGGTCCTTCCCCGGTCGAGCAGACCCATTCGTGCTACAACTATACTACTAATATACCTGCAGCATGGCTTTCTCTACCACGTATAAAAAAATCATTTAAAAACAACCAAATAAAACAACAGATAGCACTAACCCATAGTAAAATCTATACTGTATCCCATTCCAACCAAACCAAACCCATCTGTTACTACACGCAGTATCCGTAATTTCAAAGATTTGACTCCTAAATCACGATGAAATAAAATTTGAATACACAAAATTGCTTCGTTACATTGATATTTAGGTACATTTTTGTGTAAAAGTGCTAATTGTGGGTATTCCGGTTTGTATCAATATAGATAGTCACCATCTGAGACTAAATACATATTTATCTAAATGATATATCGGATACGGGTAAAATATACATCGGACGAGTGAGTGCTTCTGTGCATCTAAGATTATGATGCCTCGCTTAGCGGACTATACTCTAAAGTATATTAAACAATAAATAATAGAGTCGAAAATAAAACACTATTGTGTATGAGGATAATTTATTTAAACAATGCTCAATGTGATTAAATAATATATTACGTAATAATAATAATATTGTTGTGTTGTTACAAAACAAAGAAGCTTACTCAATAAAAGCAATTAAAGGAAATTATTCATATGCATAAATTCCCCTTCACAGGGTTTCCCTATTACCACAGAATAAATAATAGTATAAGAGCTATTACTTATGAAACTATCGGCCTACTCCCGACATAATCGAGTTCTGAATCAATCGACTTTTATTCGAGCTCAAGGTAATTTTATGCCCCGAAACCATAACTTACAAATTATCAGAACGGAAGGGTTGAGCCTTCTGCCACTAGATAGCGCTCGTGGTCGCAAGCGACGAGAATGCTTTTTCCTGATTAGAATATTTCTAATTATGTAATAAAAATATTTAATACAAATTTTTATTTATCGTTAAAACGCCAGATTAAATTGAAAACCGAATCGAATACAAAATAATTTTCGGGAGTAAGTCTTAAAACTACAAACACGTGACATAATTTTATACTGCGACAGCTACGGAAAATCCCCTAAAATACAATTGTAAAACCGCTACGAAATATTGTTGTAATGCCAGTCTAAGTGAACTAATTTCGTGTTAAAAGTTTCAAAAAACCTCTATTATTTTATAGTAAATGTAAATATAAAAATTATGTAAGTAAATGAAATGTTGTAACATTCATTTACTATAAATGTTAATTATAAAAATGTGACTAAAACAGTTTCATTTTCAGGCGACTAGAACTGTCAAATCAACAGCCCAAATTTTTAAACCTTTGGTTTTAAAACTTAAAGAGTATATATAAGCATAAATTGCTTAAATACTTTAAGCTATATAACTTTCTTTCAATAAATAATAAATATAAATAGGCCGATCATGGCAGTGCAGGAGCTAATTTTAAATACTCGCATTTTTTTTTTTATAAAATTAAGGTGACAAGAACTTACAGTCCACAGATGAGCAACTGCAGCTCATGGACACTTGCAACCGACTTCAAATAAAGAATGATGCTTTATCACCTTTGAGGACTAATTTGGAATGCCTCACAGCCTGTATTGTATTGGCTCTCTAGATTCGAAAATAAGACACGTTTACTAAACTACTTATACAATGCAATATTTAGGAAATTAGACATAAAGCATAAATAAATAATAATTATTACGCAAATGAATATTCTTACATAATGTTGAGTGTACTTTTTATTTGGTAACTTCTTTTACTAAATACTAGGTATCATTATGGCAAAATTTCAAATTTTAGGAATACTGATTGTTTTTCAATGCTTCCACAAAATAATAAAAAAATGCAACATTATCAAATATCGACAAAATTCGTTTATGTCACTATGAAAGATTATACAAAATGTCAAAAGTTCAATAGTCATAGATATATTGCTATTATTAAAACACTACATAATATAATGTGTATATGAAATATAATAAGTATGTATGTATATGAAAAAAGTATGACATAATAATGGGAATGTTTTAAAAGATAATATCTATGCGAATAACAATATCAATTCCTTGTTTGACCAAGTAACTATTTTTTCTTCTTTGCACTAAAACAGAAATAACCTCGCAAAACAACCATCTGCAATACTTTGAAGATGATCTAATTTCTCTCTAAGATCATCTCTAAGATCTCTCATTATTAAGTTTGAAAAAAGTTAGTAGATCAACATATTAAAAGTCTAACGGTAGGTTCTATTACTACTGTTTACTGCCATCAGTGTTGCCAAATCTAGCTAAGCCGAAATCGCAAAAAAAAATTGGTGAAGTTGCCCAACTTTTAGTGAATTTTTTATTCTCCTAAAACGCTTGGATTTTAAAATAAAGTATGCTTTAGAATATTTTTTTTTTCAAATAATATGAAAAAGTATTGCAAAAATAGAAGAAGAAATACCACAATGGAAAAAAACTAATTATAAGTGACTAATCAAAAAGGCAGTTGGAAAATCTACATTTTTTTATTTCGTATCACTAAATTCATAGAATTGCCTTTACAATTGCCTTCTTTATGAAGTAGCTAATTGGGAACCAATCGCCAGTCGCAATTGTTGGGCGCACTTACTTCTTTCGAAGTAACCTAAATGGCAAAAAATTGCCTAACTTGGCAATACTGACAGCTATTAGTGTCATTATTTTCGACACAGCCTGGTTATTCCAATCTCTGGTTAATCTCCTGGATATGGAAAAAAGTGGTACAGATAGGAAGACTTATTTGAGCCCATAACTGACTATATGACAAACATTTTGGCAAAAAGCATAGCGACATATATAAATAATTGAAACATAACTTGAATCATAACAGTAACATTGTTAAATAAATAGATGAAAGCGTTAAACGGCTATCGACCGTCGATCTCACTAAACGTTCCAACTTTACTACGTACTAAGTTGTGTAAATAAATCTTAGGATATAATGAACATTTTATAACAATGCTGTTACAGCCGTTTATAAGGCAAGTGAACCTGTCAGTTCTCTTATTTGTCTAAATTACTTTACGAGCCTAATTATAATGAAATTGTTAAAAAAGTCACAACATCAACGTGTCTAAAAGATATTACACAATTATTTAAAGATATTGGGCCCGATCGTTTAATTTTAACTAAGTAGATCTTGTCAATAACTGTTCAAAAATGAAAACAATTAGAAAATTCTGTTCACAAATGGCTATTATAGTGTTATGCTAAGTCTTCATATTTTATTACATATAATTTTTCAGTTTTGTACGTAGATAACTGGCCCCTAGTTTGAGCCCGTTCAATTAATGGGCTGATTAAACCATTACACTTTACGCGGGACGTATATGTTTCAGTCAAAACTCATAACCGGTCAAAACAAAAACGGCAAAAGTAGTTTTGATTACGAACGTTGGTCTAAACCACTTTTAACTGCAAAAATATTGGGTAACAGTGATTTTAACCAAATTACATCAGAACGTTAGTGTGTATGCGGCTTTAAGGTGACCCAAGGGCCACTCCAGCTGAACCTTAACCTACTGTCGCTGACATAGCGCGTTTTGACCGATAGTGTGTACTTTGTATCAGGCAAAATAACTTTTGACTACAAAAATCAGTCAAAATTGTTTTTTAATAACGGCATCGATCAAAACCATTTTTGCCTGATTTTCGCAGTCAAATGTGGTTTTAACCGGTTATGAGTTTTGACTGTAACATATATACCAATGATATTGTATACTATGCAATTTTTTATATAAAGAAAAAGGTTAATATTACTATAATTTTAAAAGCTAGCATCTCACTATATTAGCTAGTATGTTTAATAAATATGCCTTTAAAATGCACTTTATCACATGTCCAATGTAATGTTTTGTTTAGATATATTTTGTGATACAATACATAATAATTGTATGTGCATTATAAAATATATATATATTTATTTATATTAATTTATATTTAATAAAAACGCGATAATAAACTTCTATAAAACGTAATGTTTAATTTAAAGTCAGTGAAAACTGAGTGAATTAATTGCGTTCGTATTGACACTTTCATTTTCATTATGATTCTTAAAAAAATTATGATTACCACAGAATATATTAATATAACTTGTCTGAAAAATCGTTGTTTAGTTATACAATACTAAATTATAAATCGAAATATACAACGAATAAATAGTGCCAGTCGAAATATTATACTTGTTCAATAAGGCTACATGGTGCTACAAGGTGCTTAATCACTCGTCATTTTGCTTCAGATTTGAAATGTGTGTTTTATTCAATAATTTAGTCAGTAGGAGGATCCATAGCAACTATGATAGTTTTCATAACCGCGGCCGCCGCTAAAGCAGCATGCGCCTGCCATTCCTTGCCGCGGGAACCATCACGGTAGTCCGAGATACCTAAATATTTTAACAAACAAAATTAAATTATACAAAAACTGTATTAAATGTATAAAATTAATCTTCATTTTCTTCACCATCAGTCCACACGTGACTGGCTGAACTTGAAGCTCTCTCATAGTGGAGTATACGCCCTAATCACTACGTTAGGCAATCGCCTGGTTATCGTTCGTAGTGCCAGAAGTTTAGCTTTTTAATAGCTCTACGTGACCGGTCTGGAATCTGGATATTTTACACCATTTTTCCATGAGGAAATGGAAAATTCCATGGAAGACATTCATGTATTATTATTAAATTACTAATTGATTGCCTTGTTCGTCTGGTAGTCGTTCTTATCATGTAGATCCGGGTCTGGCATAAACCTATAATTGGGTTTTTCTATTGATAAGCTGTAACGGTAACGACAGACGTAGTCGTGGAGACCGCAAACGGAACGTCTCCTGTAGGTCTAGTAATCGTAAACACGATTGTTGATTATGAGGTTCCGGGTTCGAATTCTGGGTCGGGCCAAAAACAGTTATTGGGTTTTTATGTCAAGAAATTCTCAGTAGTAGTCTTGAATCAGGAAGTTAGCGGTGTTTTACCTCTGTGCCTTTTTAAGCACGTATATTTGTTGGTCCTGTGTACCTGATCTCTCTTCGGTCTTCTCGATCACTGTACCTTCGGACTATGAGAATAAGGGAATAAAGAGTGCACCTGTGCTTGTGCATGTAGTCGGGCAATATAATCCAGTCTTTGTTTTGAGATGTTAATGCTGTTAGCTTTTTGGCTTTTACAGCATTATTCCACTGTCTGACAGATTGAGTCAGTCCGCCAGTCAGCCAAAGTGCTATTTATTACCCAGTAGTACCTAGAAGTGCTAATATATAGTATATTGAAGAATTAAACGACTTCAGAAGCTGTTATGTGGAAATTATTCTATTCTTTTTGGTTTTCTGAAGTTCGAAACTTTCTGGACCAGTCGGATAAAAAATCGATTATACCTACTAGACAATGATGTCAGACTAGCAGTGTAAGAAGAAAGGCGAAGCGTTACTACATTTAAGAGATGCACAAAAACCAAGCTGTACATTATCATTTGCAACAATAGTAATAATTTGCAACAAATATCTAAAAATGTGTTTGAACTTATATAGACTGATACAGAAAGATAGAAAGACGTGCCAAGAAAGTTTGAACATGTGTCCAGCATCATTTGTACGCAGCGCGCCGTCTATCCTCTTTGTTGGTCTGTGATACTGGCACAAAATAAATATCGGAAAAGGAAAAAGTGTAGGTGTAGTCGCGGGTGTCGGGTGTCGGGTGTCGGGTGTACCTCTGATGGAGATGAAGCAGTCCTTGCGGTTGCCGACGACGCTGTCGAGCACGGCGTCGAGCTCGCAGTCGTAGGCGCGCGCGCGCGCGTGCGCCGCGAAGGCCGCGCGCGCCTCGCCCGCGCCCGCGCCCGCCACCGCGCGCCCGCCCGCCACCGGCGCGCAGTGCACGCGCACCTGCCCGCGCCTGCGCCCCGCCCGTACAGCATGTGTGACGTGCGTGTGCCGCCATCGCACCACATGCACGTCACGCATACATTATACCGCATTTACACATACGCGCTCGTGATTCACCCCGCCATTCGACGAATTGTTTGGCGAGATATTCATGTAGTTTTAGGCTACACGACTAATCGTTTACACATTCGCGTCTCTATTCATTTTTACTTCAGCTTGACGAAATAAACGACGTCGTCATTCTAGCAGTTTTTGCATTGCATTCGCGAAGTTAATATAATTATTTAAAACATGTCGTCCTTTCCTGTACTGGAATTTATTGATATACGAAAAGTAACCAGCAAAGAATGTTTCCTCAATTTTAAATCGTTCTCTAGTAATCCCATTACTTTTAATATACTAGTACAAGCATTGTATACTTTTTGCTTATTTTTATGATAAGCATGCTTTGGATTCCAAGTGACTGGTTGATTTTGGTAAAGCTCCAAAACATCATAAGTTTGTTGTTGGTTCAATACATTTTGTTTATGTTGCTAGCTAGTTATGAAAATAACTAAAAAACAAATATGTAAATACTAGTTCATCCCGTCGCTTTTTTCTCTTTGACTCGTGTCCAAAAACCCGCTCCCGAGCGACGACGCGAATCTCGAAGTGAATGACGAACCACCGTTTACATATTCGTGCTCGTATCTCGCCCGCTCGGCTCGTCAGTCGAGCGAATGTGTAAATGCGGCTTTATACATTTATACTTTTTTTCTTTTGCTATTGGTACTCGTATAGTTGTACTTTTGCCACTGTCCAGTAATATAAAATTATCCTCTACAATTTGTTTAAAAATTTTTTCACAATATGTTGATGCGTCACATTGCATAGTTTTTGAGAGATTTTGACGGCAACCATTGCCAATAGGCAGTCGTAATATCCCTTACTCCTTATCGTCCTGTAGGTGTCGTAAGAGGTGACAGCGTGAAACAAACCAAAAGATGAGCAGTAGCGTTTTCCAAATAAAAAACAAAAAAAACTGCGGTTGAAAACCCGCCGACGAAGCGTGGCAACTATGACAAATATCTTCCCCTATGTTCAGTAGTGGATTTTTAATAAGCTGTAACATAGCGGTAAATTTAAACAGGTACATTGCCATGCCATTCTATACTCCACCAAATCTAAGAAATGCTTTTTGACATTTCACATTATTCATTCCACAATAACTTTGTACACGATTTAAAATAACCTTTTACGTAAATCAAATAAATTATAAAGTTGTCTATATTTTCTTACAACATTAATAATTCTTTATCATTAATTTAAATTGGAATCTTTTAAACAAAGCAACATATAAAAAATTAACCAGAATCAACTCTTTTGCTTTACGTTGTTTCCATGATATGTCGTTATGCACCTTACCGCAATGTTTGGAAGATCAAAATTCATGCCAATGCGAATAATCGGTAAAAATATTAAAATAATTGAACCTTACACATGATCTTTGTTTTGTCCATGTTCATTTTAAGACCTACCGTTGGGAGACACTATTTAGGTCATTGAGCAAAGTGCTTACTACTTAGGCCCAGCTATTCTACCATTAGGACTATATCGTCGGCTAATCGAAAGAGTGATGTACTCGCCATTGATATAAATACCGTATCCTTTCCAGTCCAGTGGCTTGATAACGTCTTTCAATGCAGTGGTGAAGAGTTTCGGGGATATAACGTTACCATGTCTTACACCTGGATGCAGTCGGATAGGTTTAGTACTCTGGTTCTGTACTCGAATAGCCATCGCAGCCCTACTGAATAAACACTTTAGCACTTCGTTATACCGACAGTCGACTACGCACCGCTGAAAGGACTACAGCACCGCCCATATTTTTAAAAATTAAAGGATTTCTCATAGTCCACATACGAAATAAAAAGTGGCAGATTGTACTATTCGCGCTTCTGTGCAATTTGTAGAAGGGCATGTATGTGGTCCATGGTGCCAAAGCCTTTTCGAAAACCAGCTTGTGTTGCTTCCAGCCTCCCCAGGCTGGAAGTCGCGAGTCTGCGTGCAAGACGATTCTTAATAACTCTCGAAAACAGCACGTAGACGCGGCTCAGAAGGGAAATCGGTCTGTAGTTATTCAAGAGAGCGTTAACGTTAAGCCTTTCTTGAAGAACAAGACCACCGCACTTCTGCTTCACGCCTCCAGAGTAGTCCCACCAAGGAGGACGGTAACAAAAAGCTACTGAAGGACCTTAAATAATGGTTTTCCACCCGCTTTCAAAAGTTCCGCTGTAATTCCATCCTCGCCTGGGGTCTTGCCGTTTTTAAGTTGCTGAAATTGCCAGGCAATTTGGCCAATCTAATCTCGCACAGATTCCGGGACTTCATCGGAATAGTGTTAAACATCAAATTAGTGTCATCGTTGGAGCCACACGTAAGTGTGACGTGTACAGCCCATAGAACCTCTCAATCTCTCTCATAATCTCAGGTGTTCCGGAAACGATGCTGCCACATTTGGTCTTTAGCTTCGACAGTTGGCTCTTTCTGGCAAACATATCACTGGCAAAGACTTGGAGTCCTGTTTCCGCTGGATGACTTCTTCAATACAAACTGCATTGAAGTAGCGTAAGCCCGTAGCGTTGTCTATTCAGTTGCCTGCATGCTGCCAAATCTAGTGAAGACTACACCTTAATTTTCCGTCTAACAGCCAATGAGATCAAGGGTGTAATCAGAGAGTTTTTGTGTTCTTCTGTGACGGGTATTACAGAACTTAGCTCCGACCGCGTGGACAGTTTCTACCAGCTTTTCATTCATATCGTCCACTGCATTGCAGTCTTCTAGGCACTGAAAAATATTCTGGAACTCGAGCAGAAAATTTTCGAGGTTTTGGAGTAGAGCGCGAGGGGGACAGCGCGTTGATTTGATTTCATTCGATGATCGCTGCCAGTTTTTACCTTCGCGATCTCTGAGACATCACTGAACAGTTGCCGTCTAGTCGTCACAATAAAGTCAATCTCCTGTTTTGTCAAACCATCGATCAGGTCAAAACCTGAGAAACAGAAACTGTTTCTGTGCGGCCGTCCCTGGAAGAAAAAGTTCATCATAAAGAGTCCCACTTTCTCCATGAAATCGGCCAGCTGCTGGCTCCTTCGGTTCCGTTGCTCTATTCCGAATTTCTATACTTTCACCTCACCGTTCTCTCTTGTGCCTAGTTTTGCGTTGAAGTCTCCTATTAACACCGTAAAGTGGATTTTGGAGGAATGCATGGCACTAAATCTACATATCCTTCAGCTCTCTACTATCCTCCTACGTATCCTTTAGCTCCTTATCGGGATGTGCCGAGGTTGGGGCGTGAACCTGTATGACATTCAACTAATTACCGTTTGTTGATCTGAGTATAAGGTACGCAACCCTTATCCAAGCCTTACAAGGTTGTTAACGATAGAATTGTGGACGATAAATCCAACACCTCCTTAGGACACATGGTCACCCTCCCAGTGATAGAAAAAGTTTCCTCCCCCTCGTTTTGGTCGTCAGATAATCCTATAATATCCCTGCGCAACTTGTCTATCCCTTCTTCCAGGTCCAGGATCAATGCGTCTGCTCTCAGGGTGCGTGAGTTATATGTTGCCAGGTCGAGTCTTAAGTGGCAACCGAACTTCCACCGGAGACTCTTAGTACCCCCTGCCCCGCCGTTACCATCGTCGTCCTCGTAGCCAAGAATAGCGGGGCCGCCGGGGACTGGGGGCCGTTTATTTGAGTTATTAGGGGGATGTTTGCCATAGTTGTAGCGCTTGGCAAGCGGGTTGGCAATCACAGTTTTTTATTGTAATTTTACGTTTATCAAAAAGATGCTGCTGCCCATCTACTGTCTCAGATTCTCTCTGTCGCCTCTAACGACACCCATGGGAAGATATAGATATTATTTTATTTTATTATTTTTCACTTGTCTGGAGGAAACTGATGTGTAGCAATAAGACCACCATTTGTTTTCCTTCGTATATTGTATATTTTGTTATATTAATCTTTCCTTGGTGTACGATAATGAGTATTATATCTAATAAATTTTAATTAAAATACACATTTAGAGATTTGAAATTAAAGTGCGTAACGTGATCTGACTACTAGAAACGGTAACCTTGACTCGAATTTATCTAATTTGAGTCAAGGTTACGAAAAGATTTTCAAGGTTAAAAGAAGAAACATATTAACATACCTTTGTTCACCGTGGGGAACGGGATGTGATACTTCTATAAACACGCCGTCACCGACATCGACACTGAGCCGGTCGGTCGCGTCTTCGGGCGCCTCCCAGCGACCTGGCACTCCTCGCAAGCGCTGCATTCCTGGTAGTTTCAAAAATGGTGTGAAGACACAAAATTATTACTGTAATCAAATTATAAAAAAAAACTACAAATTATAATAAAATAAGGAGAATGGAAACACTTTCCAAGCTGGGAGATTTTAATGGTAATTTGAGGTACAAGCAAAGGTTAGGCTACGATCCAAGAGCAAGTCTCATTGGACACTATTCTGATGATATTCCGGACGTCAGTCTGAGCGAGATTAGAATGGCTCTCCAGCACCTTAAAAACAGCAAGGCCCCAGGCGAGGATGGAATTACAGCGGAGCTTCTGAAAGCGGGTGGAAAACCGATACTTGAAGTCCTTCAGAAGCTCTTTAATTCCCTCCTCCGTGGTGGCACTACACCGGAGGCGCGGAGCAGAAGTGCGGTGGTCTTGTTCTTCAAGAAAGGCGACACCGCTCTCTTGAAGAACTACAGACCGATTTCCCTTTTAAACCGCGTCTACGTGCTGTTTTCGAGAGTCATTACGAATCGTCTCGCATGCAGACTCGACGACTTCCAGCCTCTCGAACCAGCCGGTTTCCGAAAAGGCTTTAGCACCATAGACCACATACACACCCTTCAGCAAATTGTACAGAAGTTCAAGGAGCACAATTTGCCGCTATGTCTGGCGTATGTGAACTATGAGAAAGCCTTTAATTCCGTTGAAAGGAGATGTATGAAATTGGGTTCTTGATATCGTTCGTAACAATTATACAAAAATATGTAGGTAATAAAAAGATAAATTATAAGCATAATTAAATGGTTTTTATTTATGTAGTGTATGGAACAATCATAAAAACATTTTTTAAAACTGAAAAACGAAAATTAATGCTTTTACCATAGCAAAAACAAAACGTTTTTAAATATTTTTATGTAATTTGTCTATGGCATTAGACAATGAAGGCTATTTTTTGTTATAAATAGCCTTCAGTATCAAAAAAACTCATAATAATGAAACGTTGAGGCGAATCTGTAGAGATTAATACTGAATAAAAGATATCTGTTTAGAAAATCGATTGAATAGGCTACGTTATTAAACTAAACAAAATATTTTAATAATATCGGACACAATTGAATACGCTGTATGGTCGTTTGATGCATGTTTCGAAGGAGACTTGGTAACTTCGAGTTTAAACTTGTCATACGCATTTGGCATTGTGGAGTTTTGGCGGGAACTTGATCGGCGGCGGTTTGCTGCTCCTGTATTATAGTTTAAATAATAGTTTGAAGTGGATTTTGATACGAGTATGTAAAAGTGGTGCGATTTTATGTATTAACTGTCTACGCATGTGAACTATTAGTGGAAACGGTGAAACAAGTGCTCTGATGGTGATGGATTCTCAAGATAAGCTCTTTGTTTGCATAGGCGCCTTTAGATACCATCGTCAACTGTCAGCTGCATGCTGGCTCAAGTTGCCGTCAAAATCCCCCAAGGGCTGCACAATGCAAAAACGCATCAACATATTGTGAAGCAGTGAACTATGCATAGTTCCTTTGCCTGCTCTCTCGAGCGAATAATAAAAACAACAACAACAACAACGTTTGGCATTGTGGTTGTGTTTGTGGATATATTTCGTGTTTTTATTTTTGTGAATTAATTTAACTTGACCCGTGGCTTTTCTCTTGATTTACAGAACAGTAGGTTGTTGCGCCCACATAATGACAATAATGTGTTACATGGGTTTTGAGAGGAATAGAACAGACAATGTACAGCCTCAGGCTGCTTTTCGAGATGACATTTTATTAATAATTGCAGAAAATATGTAATTAAACAATTAAAAAAGTTTGAGTTGTATTTTATTTAATAAGAACTAAAAAACTGCTTCCTTTTGTGTTCTTTCAATTTATTGTAACAACTTATCCCAAAATTATGAAAATTCCGGCCCAATCCCCCCCCCCCCCCATCAACATGGTAGCGGAATTACATCATAAACTACCCCAGGAGGGTACCAGTACCCCTGGAGAATCCCTCGCTGAGCATCCACGACCATGCTATTCCACTCCTGAGCGTGGGTGCTCAGGCTGCCCCGCGTATTCTGGGGGGGGGGGGGGGGGGGGGGCAAAATTCTGCTCAACACAATAACTGCTCGGGGCAAACTGAGCAACAAGACCAAGGCGACCCCTGCCACGCTATCCGTGAATTTCTGCAACATCAGGGGACTTTACTCGAACCTAAACGCCGTCCACTACCATCTCGAGACGGCGAAGCCGGCCTTGCTCTTTCTGACCGAGACGCAGGTGTCCTCTCCGGCTGATACTTCGTATCTCTCCTACCCGGGGTACAAATTGGAGCACTCCTTTGTGCCTCGGGCTGGAGTTTGCGTGTATGTCAGAGAGGACATCTGTTCTCGACGCCTCGGCAGTCTTGAAGGTTCGGACCTGTCCATCCTTTGGCTTTCCGTAGACAGCGACGACCATCCGCGCGTCTACGTGTGCCTCTATAAGTCCCATAGCGGCAATGCCGAAACAGACCGACTCATCGACCACGTCCAAATGGCTACAGATTCCTTGCTACAACAGGTCCCATCCGCAGAGGTCGTGATCCTTGGCGATTTTAACGCCCACCACGCCGAATGGCTCGGTTCAAGTTTAACCGATCATGCGGGGAGATCTGTTTATGACTTTGCCTTGGCATATGGTCTGACACAACTGGTTACATCGCCTACGCGGATTCCAGATGTTGAGGATCATACACCTTCCCTGTTGGACCTTCTGCTGACCTTTCATCCGGACGGATATCAGGTTTCCGTCGATGCCCCTCTTGGCTCTTCAGACCATTGTCTGATCCGGAGTGTGGTGCCACTCACGCTTCCCTCGCGGTTGCGTTCTGCAGGTTGCCGCCGTGTTTGGCATTACAGGTCGGTGGATTGGGACGGAATGCGGTCTTTCTTTGCTTCCTACCCATGGGGGCGGGTTTGCTTCTCGCCGGATGATCCCAGCGCTGTTGCTGACTCTGTCACTGATGTGGTGCTACAGGGAATGGAACTATTTATTCCATCATCTGTGGTACCCATCGGAGGCAGATCTCAGCCTTAGTTTGGTCGCTCCTGTAAGACTGCTTTACGCAGTAAGCAGGAGTGTTATCAAGCCTGGGCTGCGGCTTCGGCGACTCGGGATGAAAACACCAGCATACTTAAAAAGAAGTATAACTTCGCTTCCAGGTCCTTCAAAAGAGTTATTGCCAAGGCAAAGTCAGAACACATAGGCAGAATTGGCGAGAAACTAGTTCGCCTTCCTTCGGGAACCCGTGCATTCTGGTCTCTCGCCAAGGCTGTCCAAGGGAATTTCTGTAAGCCATCACTACCATCTCTGCACAGGGAGGACGACTCACTGGCCCACGACGCAAAAGAGAAAGCCGACCTTTTAGGCTCCCTTTTTGCGTCCAACTCGACTGTTGACGACGGGGGGAACACACCGCCGACCATCCCGCGGTGTGAGTGCTCCATGCCGGATGTACGGTTCTCACAGCGCTCGGTTCGCAGAGCACTCCTCTCCCTTGACATCCACAAGTCGAGTGGGCCTGACGGAATCCCCCAATTGTGCTGAGGACGTGTGCTCCGGAGTTGGCACCGGTTCTAACGCGTCTTTTCCGGTACTCCTACTCCCTTGGCGTAGTCCCGAAATCATGGAAGACAGCTCTTGTCCACCCGATCCCTAAAAAAGGCGACCGCTCAGACCCATCCAACTACAGGCCTATCGCCATCACCCCCTTGTTCTCCAAAATAATGGAATCCGTTATAAACTGCCACCTCATGCGGTACCTTGAGGATCACCAGCTGATTAGTGACCGCCAGTACGGTTTTCGTCGGGGTCGATCAGCTGGTGATCTTCTGGTCTACTTAACTCATAGATGGGCGGAGGCAGTAGAGTCCAAGGGGGAGGCATTGGCCGTTAGTTTGGACATTGCGAAGGCCTTCGATCGGGTTTGGCACAAAGCGCTTCTGTCGAAGCTCCCTTCCTATGGGCTTCCCGAGAAATTATGCAATTGGATCACCAGCTTTCTTGCAGATCGGAGCATCAAGGTCGTTGTAGACGGTGCATGCTCCAACTACAAGCCTACTAACGCTGGTGTTCCACAAGGCTGCGTGCTATCACCAACGCTGTTTCTTCTGCATATCAATGATATGTTGCAAACTGGTAGCATTCATTGCTATGCGGATGACAGCACTGGTGATGCTCTATACACCGGCCGTGCCAATATTTCTCGGGAAAACGTCACCGAGTACCGGAACAAACTTGTGTCTGAAGTCGAGTCTTTGCTGGACGAAGTCTCGGATTGGGAGCGACTAAATCTAGTCCAGTTTAATCCTCAGAAGACACAAGTTTACGCGTTTACCGCTAAAAAGAACCCCTTTGTCGTATCTCCTCAGTTTCAAGGTACTCCCCTTGTTGTCTCAGCCAGTATCGGAGTCCTTGGCGTCGACACATCGAGTGATGTGCAGTTTCGTGGTCACCTGGAAGAGAAGGCCAAATTGGCCTCTAAAAAGCTTGGCGTGCTCAGCAGAGCGGGACAGTATTTCATGCCAGCTCAACGCCTGCAACTTTACAAGGCGCAGGTTCGGCCTCACATGGAATACTGTTCCCATCTCTGGGCTGGGGCTCCCCAGTGCCAGCTCTTTCCACTTGAACGCATCCAGTGCAGAGCGGCTCGAATCGTCGACGACCGAGTCCTTTCCGATCGGCTCGACTCGTTGGCACTGCGAAGAGATGTTGCATCTCTTTGCATTTTCTTTCGCATTTACCATGGGGAGTGCTCAGAGGAATTGTTCGGATTAATCCCAGCCGCCAAATTTCACGAACTCCCGATACCAGGAGGATACGAGGAGAGGGCTATGCTCGGGGTTTCTCTACGTGATAAACTTAGAAATGAGGATACCCGTAGGAGCAGATTTACCGACATAGCCCAACGGATTAGTAAGCTGAAGTGGCAATGGGCCGGCCATATAGCTCGAAGAACCGACAACCGATGGGAAAAAAGGTTCTCGAGTGGCGGCCTCGTACCGGCGGACGAAGTGTAGGGCGTCCCCTCACTAGATGGAGTGACGACCTGGTAAGAGATGCAGGAAGTTGATGGATGCAGGTGGCTCAGGACCGTGCTTTGTGACATTCCTTAGGGGAGACCTATGTTCATCAGTGGACCTGTGAAGGGGTGTAATGATGATGATGATGACGAGATCGGAGAAACGACTGTAGTATTATCTACGTCCGTTTTAAGTTGCGGCTCCGAAACTTTAAACCACCTTCTTTGATTATTATTTGTTCCCAAATATGAGAAAAGAGCTTGGGGGAAAGAAATTTGCAGATGACGAAGAAGTGAGGTCGGCAATTTCTGCCAATTTTGATGATCTTGACAAAAATATTTTTTCGAAGGTATAAATAAGTTATTTGAACGGTCTGAGAAGTGTATAATATAAGCAATGCCATGATGATGATATCGTAAATTAAATCAGCTTTTAGCGAATCAAATTAATACAAAAATAGTGGTTTTATTACATATATAATGATATTAATTATTAGTTATTAAACAAAGGAAGAGTACCTTCGTTGACATATAAGCTCCAAGGGGCGTGAGTATTCGTAAGCCGTAGTGCGATGTCTTGCAATAGGAAATTAGTTGGTTTGTAAGGCTTCACTTCATAGTCCCAACCACCCTTTTCATTACGCTCAGCTTTTTCGCAGAAAATGTACACGTATCTACAACAAAATTAACGATTTGTTATGTTATTGTTACATACCTGTATATCCATAAAAGGAAAGCTATTAAAAATATTCATAAAAAGTAATAAGATACGGCAGCACTAATGATATCTAATATTAAATATTATTGGTCCTGACGAGATAAAGTTACGTTATTACAGAGACAGACATTTCAATTTTATTTATTTGTATAGATGAAAGAGAAGGTTTAATCGGTAACTGTCTAATCGGTAGTAAGCTCTTACAGATATAACATTTATACCATATTTTTGAAATTAAACATATTAACTACTCTTTTCACGATTGTAAATAATTTAGGTAACAGAAAAGTATTTTATTACATTGATATAGATGTAGAACAATTCAGATTTTAAAGATAGCTTATGATCTCAAAGCAGATGTAGTCTAATTGGTATAATTGACACCTTGAGTGAGAGGTCATAATGTCGGTAACTAAATACGTTTATAAGATGTATTTTACGTGATATATTTAGGGTAAGGACAATATATCTTAACTAATAGCGTATCAACATATTGAGCTGGTCTGGCTTTGAGATTTTGAAATTTAGACACAATTTGCATTAGTGTAGAACGCAAATAATGAGAAAGTGGATGACATTATTTAAGTTTTAGCCTGCAAGTAATCTTATTAACAACCTTTCTTATCTACTGCTAGACCTTCTCAAGAATGTGCCGATTTGCCCATAGAACGACATATGCAGGGGCGGTGGAATTTGCCCATAGAACGACATCTGCAGGGGAGCGGTGGAATGCGCCGATTTCCCCATATAATGACAGGGGATCTGCAGAGGGAGGGGGGGGGGGGGGGCGGTGAGTGCAGAATCGATACATCAAATTTCCTTTACTTATATGTGGGATTTTAGTTCAGAATTTTCACTCATTGAACCTTGATTTATCACCTAAAGCATGAATGGACCAAGTCGGTCGGGAAAGGCCTATAGTATAGAATGTCAGTGTAAAATTGCAGCATAACGCTGCTTTTCCTGTGTATAATAGTATGTCGTTCGTAGCGTGATTGACGGGAACCAGAGACCCATTTTATTGGTTACAAGACAGTACATTTTAGTGCTCAACAGTGATAATGCTGCATTATGAATTTTAATCGATGATAGATATAGATGAGGCGTAGGTGTTTATGGGCAATAGCATCCACTTAACATTAGATTGAGTGTGTGCTCGTTTGTTATCCATACTTGTATATATAACAAAAAAACCTATTCCGTCCCGTATATACCTAATATAAACAACCTGTGACGTCACCATACTTAAATTCAAAAATGTTAAGACATCTTGCACGCATAATACCTTTGGGAAGATGGAATAATTTGTTCAAAAAAATTTTACAGTAGGTTTGTTTGTTTTAATTGCATTTTCATACTTATCGTTTAAATCCGGAGCTGGTGTTGATACCACGACGTCACCTAGACGCACATGCCGCGAGTAATCTGTGTAGTGGGGAACTCCGCCACCTACACCTACCAGGAAAACATATTCGACCTGGAAAATAAAAACAAAACATGTTTGACGTTTTCACGTTTACAAAAAGATTATCGAGGAACAAAACAATAATATCTACGTAAAATTGATTAACTCCTCTGGTCCTTTCAAATACGATGACATCGCGTGACTAATGTCCCATATATTTAATGAAAATCAGTAATAATTAAAGTATCGACTAAAAACCATTTATAAGTAGATTAGTGTTCTTTTAAGTGATCTAGCAAATATTTGAAGTCATTAGCACTGCGGTTAAAGCGTAAAAATGACTGAACTGTACACGTATATCATTCGTATACTATAAATTATGCATTTTACAAACATAATTAATGAAGACGTAATTTTAATAATTGCTTTTATAAACGCTCTTTAATACACTTTTTAGTCCACAGTCAGACAAAGGCCTTTCCAAGGATGCATGAGCTAGTATTCATTTATTGAAAAAGAATGCAAAAAGAGATAAGGTGATTGAATGAATATTCCGCCATGAGAACATCGCCAGAGCCTGGCGACGTTCCTTGTGTACAGTGAAGGTGACGTGGCATATTTGGAGAGAAACATCATTAGTCTATGGTCAATCCTTCTTAGACCTCAGAGGTGACGACGCATCTATAGCTTTCTTTTTCTGGAGTGAAGAACACAGAAACATCAAGTATAGCTCATTTTAATGCTCGTTATGCGACTTTCACCTTGTACTCGTAAGTAGCAGCATCATCCATGTGTATATTTCGACACCATACCATAGGACGAATTGGATAAAAACTTTGGTCTTCAGACATTGTGGTATGGGCGACTACAAAACCAAAGGAAGCTTCTTAAAGAGGAAAGTTTTGGAGTAAAACTTGACACTATATTTCCCTAACACCCATATTAAATGCATTCGAATTTAATTTATAACAATTGAGCGTATCTTCACCATTTTGTATGTGTAAGGCTGGCTGCTATTTTGAGCTACTTTAAATTAGCGATCGTCGAGTGTATGCGCATCAAATGCGGAGTAAAACCACGGTTATTTCCAGTTGTAGTTCCTAATTACATTATTATTATTTTAGTAATATAGAAATTAGGCATTATGGATTTTCCGACTTCAATCTAAAGGCCATAATAGTGGATACCTTTTTAGAAAAATATATAGTTAATATTGTTATATTTAACCACCGATATCATCAGATGAAATACATAATATTTTAGCTTTAGAGAAACCAAAACGTGGAAAATAACCCAACGAGTACATTACTAAGCGTGATAGAACCAACCAAAAAACGAAAACAGTAAGAAATTTTATGTAGCAATGTAAACAGAGTACGCTAAAAATAGCACACTCCGTCTGTGTCGAAGTTACAATGTTCAGTAATACAAATTGGAGCACGATCCTCTATTTTAGATTTAGAGTACGACTCATTACTTAACTATGCTTAATATTCACGACCCTGACACTGCATCAACCGTTTCTTACAATCAACGCGATGAGCGAGTGCGTTTACTTTACTATTTATAACTTTCCTACGTATACAACCACTTTTGGTTGCTAATTCGCAAATATAAAGAGGAAGCTCTCTCGCTAATCTGCCATCACAATACTTTGTACATGGGCACATTATCTAAATCGCCGAATAATAATATATAGGAGTAACCTCATTGCATTAAGGAAGGGAATTTTGATGGTACCAATTTAAAATTGTAGATTTTGTAATAGACTTTAAATTTACATAATACTTTTTGAAAAAATCAACAAATTAAAAAAAATGCTTTTTGTTAACATAATATATTTTCTGTACATCCTTGACAATGCAAAGAGCCCATTTAATGCAAACAGATATATAAACCTTTTCCGTTAAAATACAAAGTATTCATACGGAGAAGTGCGTTCTTATATCTTCAGGTGGATGGCATTAGCGAACTGGAAATTTCAAGTGCCGATTATAGAGTGTAATCAAGATTCAAATGTCTTAGAGTACTGTATTACCAACTTTTTGTACAAGGGTCAATCTCGACTGCACGTGGCAAACCCTGCTTCTCAAATCCAAAAAAGCGAGCCGCATCTTTATTACGAAGGTATCAGCTATGTAGTCAGCATGGCCGCCGTTTAATTTTCAAGAAATAATTACAATAGTGTCCACTCTTCACCAATCAAGAGGTAGAAAGGTAGATGGAACATCATAATTAAGTCGTAGTGGAACTAGTAAGGCATTTCATTACTAAAGTAACGCATGCGTCCAGCCTATTCTGGTAGAGCTATAAATTTGAAATAAAATAAGATAAATTTAGTATAGCAGCTGTTTGTGAGCATCAAGAATAGGACGAACGTTAATAAATCAAATGCGAGACTAAATCGATTGAGAGAACTTTTTGGAAAACGTATAACTCATCTCAAAAGAATAATTGTTTGAGACTAGTTACGACTTTTCGTGGCATGTACATTAGTTAACATAGAAAAAAAAAAGATTTTATGTGAACGCAATAAAATTGGGAATAATTTGTAACATTTGTTTCCTTATTTCTATCGAGCTGCCATCCGTGATTTTAAACTAAATTTAAGAAGCAAAATTTACATATTATTTTATTTGTATTGTGTGGTAACGTCATTGTCATCTGTGTCTATACGAGGGTAGGTCAAAAAGTTCGCGGATTGACAGGGAAGAATAATGAAATGAAACATTAAACTATTTTTCCTTTTCAATGTATTCTCTCTTAATAACCCTAATAAATTTATTAGATCTGTCAAATAACTTATTAATACCGTCTAATAAAAATATTTGTCTTGGGCGTTAAAATAGGCCGAAATTGCCAACGTCACTTCATCATCGTCGCCAAATTATTTCCTACGCAGTTCATTCTTCATTTTTGGAAACAAATAATAGTCGCTTGGGGCCAGGTCTGGGCTGTAATTGTGTAATTGATCTAGTAAAGAAGCGTAGTATTCTCCCGTTATGGAAACACCACGTTCCTTATAATCAATCAAAAGGATACATTCTGTATCCCAAAAGATCGTCGTCATGATCTTTCCGGCCGATTGAGGTACCTTATACTTCTTAGGAGGGGGTGTGCCTTTTTTATGCCACTGCACTGACTCTTGCTTTGACTCAGATTCATGATAGTGAACCCAAGTTTCATCGCCAGTTACAATTCGGGCCATAACTTCCTCCCTTTGCTCTCCACAGGGGTCCAAAAGCTCGCGACAATTTTCGACGCGCTCGTGTTTTTGATGCGTAGAAAGTAAGCCCGGAAGCCATCTTGCACAGACTGTAGTCATGCCAAGGTGTTGATGTAGGATGTTTAAAATGGTTGTTTCTGATACTCCAACTAATGCTGCAAGCTGTTTTTTCTTTAACCGGGCATCTTCTGATACAAGTTTTCAACTTCTTCGATTATTTCTGGCGTGGTAGCCTCAATCCGCCGCCCAGGTCAGGGGTCATCTTCAATGGAGTCCCTACCACCCCTAGCACCACACCAGTGCTGGGATTCACGGCGACGGGTATAGTGCGCGTGATTGAGGGAGGGAGGGAGGTTCCCCTAAAATTGGGCAGGATACATCATTTTCTTTCTTTACGCGGAATTAAGCAAATTAGTTTATAACAACCCCATGATAGTGGATTTCCGTAAAGTAACACATGATTCTATTAATTATGTTATTTTGACATTACAAAGAGACACTTCAATTTTATTTGTGTAGATGTATAGATAAGGTTGATTTCTTTAAAATTGTGTATGGACGCGTGCGTGAGTGATGTGTGTAAGAGTATAATAGAATAGAAAGAAAGAGTATTTTGTGCTGGTCTATCATTGTTAATAACTTCGTTAGACACAAGTGTAATCTTACTGTAAAACATATTGTTTTAACGTACGTTAATTCGGTATGATATACTGCCATATGACTGCCATCGACAGTTCACGTGATTTTCCTAGACGATTTTTATCTTCTTGAAAAGTTGTCGACTATTATAATTATAATTTACCCTGCTACTGTGTCATCATCATCAGGATTCCACAAAACATGGTCCTGAGCCACCCGCATCCATCGACTTCTTGCATTTTTTCATTACCAAGTCGTCACTCCATCTAGCGGGGGCCGCCCTACACTGTCTGCCACTATGCATACGAAGAAAACAACTTTTTCTTTATTTTTAACCCTGAAAAAATCCTGTGCCTGTCCCGTTGTAGGGACTTTTATAGTTGTAGGGATTTTGACAGGCGGATTGACGATTGCAGTACCAGACGTCACGCACCTTTGACGCTGCTCCCTGTCGCCGGTCTGGATATTTTACGCCTGACTGCTGACGTAAACAACATGGTTGTTTACGTCCTTGATTTAATTCAAATCGTTAATATTTTATTTTGAAATATTGTATTAATTATATGTACAGTGCCTAAATAAATTCTAAACTCTTTCTCAAGCGGTGTCTGTACCGCATTTAAAAGAAATCCCAGCGTTTTGTGCGTCAAAACGTCACGTGTTCTGCCTCCTTCTTAGCATATGTTCCTTGTTTTAATGATCTGACAATGACACTTTTAGATAAACTTGGAAAGTAAAAATTATCTTAATACAATAAGCACGTATATATAACAATTGCTGGCTTAAAATATTATAAGATTACTGTAAGTTTTGGAGTTATCAAAACGTACTTGGGTTATAAGCGCTTAGGATATTTTATATTTACGAGTATATCTATGATCACAGAAAAATTACATCAAAAAGGCTAAGTATTTCTGAGAAAATCTATTTTCCATCGCCTTATACATAATTTAAAATTAAAAATTTTGTACAGCCGACTTCAATATAAGTGACTCCAATATAAGTTATTTAAGAATAACTCAATAACCATTGGTCTGACCTTGACCAATTCATATGGGACCACACGAGAACTATCAGCTTTCATATAAAAAAAGAATCATCGAAATCGGTTCCCCCAGTACAAAGTTATGAGGTAACACACATAAAAAAAAACATACACTCGAATTGAGTACCGTCTCCTTTTTGGAAGTCGGCAGAAAAGAGCTACATATGGATAATAATTGAACATTCACAGAGTATATTTCAATATGTGACGTTATTACTAACTCGTCGAACTCAGCCCGACTAAAAACTACTACACATGTGTGCAACTGATAAATCAATGAATATAATTGCAACCTAGGCAATGTTTGAAAAACGATGAAATAATATCGATAGTTTAAATGATAACCAAAGTTTGCACACCAGCTCATAAAGGGATTAAGTAACAGAAAAGTGTACACGTGTGTGTGTGAAGACATGTTGCATCTTTTTTAAAGGATAAAAACATTTTACTAAAGCCGAAGGTTTGTGTTTTAAGTGTAAATATATTTCCTAAGAAATAAAATATATTAATTATTTTTTTTCGACGTATTAAATTGAATTTTATCTGTAAACTTTGGTATCGAAATGATATTTTATTTACTAGTTATATTAAAATAAAAGCTTAAAACTAAGTTAGGCCGCCTACAAGAATTTTCAGCTATTTTAACCGACTCCATAAAGTAAGAGGTACTCAATTCAATTGTATGTTTTTTTATGTGTTACCTCATAACTTCTAGGTGAATCGATTTTGATGATTCTTTTTTAATTGAAAGCTGGTGCTTCTCATGTGGTCCCATATAAATTTGATCAAGGTCTGACCAGTAGTTTTTGAGTTATCCTTAAGTTATATTGAAGTCGCTTGTACAAAACAACACTTGTTTGTGTTCTGATATGTAGTCTATAATAACGAACATAAGGTTAGGTACCTTACGTTATCAAGTTGCCCAATCTACTTTATCTGATAAAAAAAGTTAAGTCAATCGTAATGAAGTCAAAAAGTAACATCATTGTGCTACATACTGACCTTCTGGAATATTCCGAGCAGTCTAGTGGTAGTGTTCCCAGCTGCCGTCATCGCCTCCCTAGTTCGACCCACTGAAGGTAACTTAGTGGTTACGACACGATGTGCGCCGATCGTTCCCAGTGTGTAGACGTTGGACTCGCCTGTAATAAATCATCATCATCATCATTACAGCCCTTCACAAGTCCACTGCTGAACATAGGCCTCCCCCAAAGAATGCCACAAAGCACGGTCCTGAGCCACCTGCATCCATCGACTTCCTGCAAATCTTACCAGGTCGTCACTCCATCTAGTGGGGGGACGCCCTACACTTCGCCTGCCGGTACGAGGCTGCTACTCGAGAACCTTTCTTCCCCATCGGTTGTCGGTTCTTCGAGCCATATGGCCGGCCCATTGCCACTTCAGCTTACTAATCCGTTGGGCTATGTCGGTCACTCTGGTTCTACTGCGGATATCCTCATTTCTGAGTTTATCACGCAGAGAAACTCCGAGCATAGCCCTCTCCATAGCTCGCTGAGCGACCTTGAGCTTCCTCATCCGGCCAGCAGTGAAGGACCACGTCTCAGTTCCGTATGTCATCACTGGCAACACGCACTGGGTGTACAGTCTCGTTTTCAAGTTTTGAGGTATACCTGACGAGAAGATGTGCCGTAATTTCCCGAACGCTGCCCAACCGAGTTGAATCCGTCGATTGACCTCTCGGTCGAAGTTGGACTTACCTAGTCGGACTATTTGTCCCAGGTAAACATACTCGTCAACAACTTCGAGCTTAGTGTTCCCAACAACTACCGGCATAGGTGTGACATGGACATTAAACATGATCTTTGTTTTGTCCATGTTCATCTTAAGACCTATCCGTTGGGAAACACTATTGAGGTCATTGAGCATAGTGCTTAGGTCCTCCAGCGATTCTGCCATAAGGACTATATCGTCGGCAAATCGAAGGTGAGTGATGTACTCGCCATTGATGTTGATACCGTATCCTTTCCAGTCCAGAAGCTTGAAAACGTCTTCCAATGCAGCGGTGAAGAGTTTCGGGGATATGACGTCACCCTGTCTTACACCTCTCTGCAATTGGATAGGTTTCGTACTCTGGTTCTGTACTCGGATAGCCATCGTAGCCCTACTGTACAAGCACTTCAACACTTCGATATACCGACAGTCAACTTGGCATCGCTGAAGGGACTGCAGCACCGCCCAAATTTCGACGGAATCAAAGGCTTTCTCATAGTCCACATACGCCAGACATAGTGGCAAATTGTACTCCTCGGACTTCTGTACAATTTGCCGAAGGGTATGTATGTGGTCTATGGTGCTAAAGCCTTTTCGGAAACCGGCTTGTTCGGGAGGCTGGAAGTCGTCAAGTCTGCGCGCGAGACGATTCGTAATGACTCTCGAAAACAGCACGTAGACGCGGCTCAGAAGGGAAATCGGTCTGTAGTTCTTCAAGAGAGCGTTGTCGCCTTTCTTGAAGAACAAGACCACCGCACTTCTGCTCCACGCCTCCGGTGTAATGCCACCATGGAGGACGGAATTAAAGAGCTTCTGAAGGACTTCAAGTACCGGTTTTCCACCCGCTTTCAGAAGCTCCGCTGTAATTCCATCCTGGCCTGGGGCCTTGCCGTTTTTAAGGTGCTGGAGAGCCATTCTAATCTCGCTCAGACTGACGTCCGGGATATCATCGGAATAATGTCGGATAAGACTCGCTCTTGGATCGTTACTCACACTTGCGTGTGGCTCCAACGATGACGTGTACAGCTGCCCATAGAACCTCTCAATCTCACTCAAAATCTCAGGTGCCCCGGAAACGATGCTGCCACATTCGGTCTTCAGCTTTGACAGTTGGCTCTTTCTGGCAGACAGATCTCTGGCAAAGACTTTGGAGCCTTGGTTCCGCTCGATCGCTTCTTCAACACGAGCTGTATTGAAGTTGCGTAAGTCCCGCCGCATGCATTTGGAGATCTGTCTGTTCAGTTGCCTGTATGCTGTCAAATCTGTTGAAGAATGTAGCTTCATCTCCCGTCTAACAGCCATGAGATTAAGAGTGTGATCGGAGAGTTTTTGTGTTCTTCTGCGGCGGGTCTTGCAGAACTTAGCTCCGACCGCATGGACAGTTTCCACGAGCTTGTCATTCAAATCGTCCACTTCATTGCAGTCTTCTAGGCACTGAAAACGGTTTTGCAACTCGAGCTGAAAGGTTTCGGGACTTTGGATTAGAGCACGAGGGGGACGGAGCGTTGACTTCATTAGACGAGACCTCTCCAACTTAACGTTTAGGTTCAGTGTGCCTCTAACCATTCGGTGATCGCTGCCGGTTTTCACCCTCGCGATCACTGAGACATCACTGAACAGTTGTCGTCTGGTCGTCATAATGAAGTCAATCTCATTTTTTGTCGAACCGTCGGGGCTCGACCAGGTCCACTTCCTGTGGGGCCGCTTCTGGAAGAAAGAGTTCATCATAAATACATGTAATAAATACATGGTATTAAAGGACAAGCATAAAAGGAAAGACGTATACGTGTTACACAGGCTTCCAAATTACCAATTATAAGCATATAACACTGGCCTGTCACCATCATCTGTTTAAGTAATTTATTAGTCACACCATCTCATTGCACAGGTGTGGCAAACATTTTAAAGTTTATAGTGAACGAAATTTACGCGTAAAGTAAGTTTTTTCTTGACGAAGTACCCGCCTCGCAGGTGCAAGGGTGTATTTTGTCGGATATGCACCTATTAGTCCTATGTTGTTCAACTTTCGTCGCCCATTAGCGGGTGAGGGTGGTTACAAAGACTCATTCATAAAATATATCCGCAGCCCCACGAGCGCTAGTTATCCCTTGGCGGCTTCTCGTCGCGTCGTTATAAAATGTTCGGTTACACAATGGCTTGACAAAACGAATATGTCATAAGTATCGGTGAAGCCGGAACTTTTTTATGCAACTATTTGTCTTGTTTGTTTTATAATTAATAAAAAACAATTTTAAGTTTTTTTTTTATTTATTTATTACCATATACGTTTTATACCATATACTCTTATTCATATTCGTAACAGCCTGTATTTTTTTTTTTGGAGTTTATGGCCTGCTATCTAGACCTTTAGGCCAAGTCTTAAGTATTTTTATTCGGTTTATTGTAATTTCCCCACTCCTTCATAGTATACTGCTTCACAATATGTTGATGCGTCACATTGTGCAGTTCTTGGGAGATTTTGGAGGCAACTTGATCCAGCAGACAGCTGATAGTTGGCGATGGTATCTAAAGGTGCCTATGCAAACAAACAGCTTATCTTGAGAATCCATCACCATCAGAGCACTTGTTTCACTGTTTCCACTAATAGTTCACATGCGTAGACACTTAATACACAAAATCGCAACACTTTTACATATCAAAGTCCACTGCAAACCATTATTTAAACAATAATACAGGAGCAGCAAACCGCCGCCGGTCAATTTCCCGCCAAAACTCCAGCCTGTATTTCAAGCGAAATGGAAACAGATTATAAACAAACCAGAAAGGAACTCGACCGCCTATAGCAAACTTTTTGTACAAGGTAAAGATCGTCGCATATTGATTAAAAACCCACAATACCTATCTCAAACCATCTGTACTCTGTGCTCAAACCTTTATTATTTTTGAATTTGACACTGGTAATTAATTACATCCCATCCTATTGAGATAATATATTATCCACAATGTACAATGTAACTCTTGGATAACACTATTTTCAACCCACACTTAGACAAATACAACATATTACGCATTTTTTGGTAATATTTAAGCTATCATTATTTATCTCCTACATACTAAATTTATGACCGCAATAGGTTTTTTACGAGTATAGTGTAAACGAGATGTTTACCATCTATCGAAGGCCATAAGATGATCCGACATTTCCAATGAGGATCCGTAACGTTTTTAGTTGAGAATGCAGATTTATAGATCTAAGAAATCCTTAACATACAGTGCAAAAATTTTTGTTCTACGACAAAAATTGACGAAGTTATGATCAAATTACTAGCGAAGTTCACTGACGGCCCGGCGCGGTAGCTGTGACGTCACTATGACGGTCTTCGCCAGTTAGCCGTTGGCAGCAATAAGGCACGCAGTGTTTTGTTTGGTTAATTGTGACTTTGAAACAAATTAAGTGTCCGATTTGTGTCTAATTCACCTTTTTAACTATGTATAAATATTGTATAGTGCCGAAATGTACAAACACTTCTATTAAAACACCAGAAAAACTATTTTTTAACGTACCGAAAGACCCCAACTTCGTAAAAAAATGGTATTCCATTGTAAAAAGAGATGATAAAACTACACCCTCTGCTCAGGCTACAAGAAATTGCTGTGAAGATCACTTCGATGTACGCACCTACATATCTATTATACCTATTATTTAGTTGATATGGAAATAAGTTGGTACCTTATGTTACGTGTAGTGTACCTGTATATTCTCTTATTTTAAGCCTGCTGTATTAATAAAAACATACCTATTTACTTTTTTTAAGTTTTGTTGATAAAACTACGCACTAACGTATCTACTAACGTAAACCTATATATTCGCCCGTTCCCATTTCTATGTATTACTAGCTTTTGCCTGCGGTTTCGCCCGCGTTGAATTCAGTTTGTCACAGAAAGTTTTTATCTCACCGCTATTTCATCCCCGTAAAGTTTATTTTTGCGATGAAAAGTAGCCTATATCCATTTTAAGATTTCAGATCGAAGTCATTAAAATCGGTTCAGATGTTTATATGTAAAAACATCGTATTTCGTATTCCAGGGTCAAAACAATGACATAGAGACGTACTCGGGTAAAAAGCAAAGAGTGAATGATAATATTCTATAATCATTTACATAACAGCGGTAAATTTATGTATCTGTCTCAGCTATGCCTTATTGTTAGAAGCAAATAAATTAATACTTATATACATTTTTATATTTCAGTTAGAAGAAGATATGGAAAATTACGTAAAGTTTAAGTTACTTGGAGGAAAGCTTAAACTGAAGAAGGGAGTTTTGCCTCATAAGTTTGAATGCCAAAAGCCCCAAAAAAAGAAAATTGACCGACCGGGTTTTAAAAAAACGACAAAACATAGAATATTTTGAAAGAGTTTTAAGTAGAGATATTGGACAAGAAGACCTG